ACCTCAATCTGCGGGTGATCGGTTTCTTACGCCAAGACCCACCGGTTTCTGGTCATCATTATTGATAGGGACCTCTGTTGGAGTCCGCATGTGACCTATATGAAGAAGCGCCTGACCGCTATTTTTCAACTCTTCAAGTTCATGGCAGGAAAGACGTGGGGGATGTCAGTAGGCGCAATGATGGAGCTCTACGGAGCCCTGTTTCTCGGTTTCCTCAGATATAGCTTGCCCGTGCTTAGCAATACCTGCAAGACCAATGTTCGTGTTCTACTGGCAGTAAAAGCCCAAGCGCTGAGAGTGTGCCTCGGTCTGCCCAGATGTACGCCAACGGAAGCAACAATTGCAATTGCTGGTGACTATCCGATACAAACTCACATTGTTGTAGAAGTCCTGAGAACGCACATCAGACACTTCGCACGTGCTCCCTGTCATCACCTCGCACTGTTGCCTTCAGAGAGGTGCCAAGCATCTTTCGCCAAAATGATTGTGAAATAAAACGATAAACTTCCCTCGGGCTTCACTCCTGCATCTAAACCATCCATACCGCTTTGGTGTCTTATTCGACCCTCAATGCATCTTAGTGTACCAAGGATCCGGAGGAAATCTGAGCTTTTGTCGCCCGTGCTGAAACAACTGTCTTTTCTTTTGCACGAGAAATATTCAGACAGCATACCTGTATACACCGATGGTTCCACGAACCACCAGTGTTCATCAGGGCAGTAGTTGTCCCAGCAAGAAGTGTTACCATCAGCTTTAGGACTGACCATCCCACGGCATCTACAGCAGCGGAACTAGCTGCTTTGCGCGCTGCACTTTGTGTGGTCAATCGGGAACCACCGCAACAATGGTCGATTTTCAGCGACTCAAGGGCAGCTCTACAATCTGTGCTCTCAGCACTGCGTCATGGGCCATACGAACAGCTTGTTTTCTGAATTCGATGCCTTCTCCACACTTCACACGAGAAAGGGCATCATGTGACGCTTCAATGGCTGCCAAGTCACTGCGGCATCATAGGGAACGAACATGCCGATACTGCCGCGCGGGCAGCCCTTGAAGGAACACGAGAAGAAGCCATACCACTTTCGCGGACCGATGCTGCCAGTAATCTTCGACGACTTGCGCGTGAAATCACGTTTTCACTATGGTGCCCACCAAGCATCGATACAAATCGTCAACACCACATGTCCTCTTTGATGGCTCTCCGCATGCCCACTGGACTCGACCGAAGACCAGCCACCCTTCTTCATCGCTTATGGCCAGGAGTGGCATTTACAAAATCTTATTCCTTTGTCATAGGAATGGCCGACAAAGCTCTCTGCGATGCCTGTCATTGCGAAGAGACGCTACACCACATCTTGTGTGACTGTCCGTTGTATGAAATCCAGAGACAGTCACTGGCGCCCGCTTTTGCGCGCATCGACAACAGCCAAATGTCTGTGGACACTATTCTGTCAAGTGCCCGAGAGAAGACATTGCAACAGAAGGCGACGAAAGCTCTGTTGAAATTTTTACGTGACACGGATTTGAACAAGCGACTGTAACAGCTTTGTCACACACCGCGAAAGACAAGACTGGACTATGACTGAGTGTGCACGCGTGTGCTGCCGAATGTGCTGTGTTTCTCTCTTCCCTCTCTGCTCACTATCTTTCATCTCCCCCATCCCTCTCCCATGCGCAGGGTAGCAAACCGGCTGCCTATAGGCTGGTTAACCTCCCTGCCGTTCTTTTCGCTCTATTTTCTTTCCTTCCTTTTTTAGGGCCTGGTACCAACATGGAGGACTGGCACATACGTGTGAAATACGTATGATCCCAAAGCATTGATTACATCTGAAAAAAGTAAATACCACTATATGCTATCTTTCTTGCTTCCTATAACGCTTAGTTCGAAGGTAGTGCGCTACCGTGCGTAAACAAACATTCCTTCTAATTAGGAAAAGATATCCCTGCAGCGAGGAACAGCGTTTTACTGTACGGTAATGTTCGACATGTTAGTAATGACCTTCGAAATATTCAAGAACGAAGAACTAATCGAACTCTGTAAATATGTACGAGGAGGTCACGATTGCTTTGTGCGAACGATAAGAAAATTAGAATAATCATGCTTAATTAATGTTGTATGTTCCCACTGTGAGCTTTTGGTATAAAATATTGGCAACCTAATGTCTACGAGGATCACAAATGCTTCTATTTTATTAAATAAAAAGCAAAAAATAGCAATTTATTTCTTTCAAGCTTCGCGCCCGTTTATGGAAGGCAATGCGTTATATTAACGGCCGAAAGAAGGCGCTACCTGCCTCATGACGTTCGGCAACTTATGCGGCGGGAAGTGTTTTCCCGCGATTTGATCACTAATTGTTTCTTCACTTCGAAAGGTTGCCTCTAAGCACAAGTCGAAGAAGTGTGTCACATATGCACAAACAAATTTAGTTTTCTATGGCAAGGTAATGCCGACAGCTGGGCAAGTGAATACATTTGGTGCACTTGAAACTTTTCAAAGTACATTTGAAACGGAGTGTGAATTCCACTGTGATATTTCATAAATGCGTCCCAAACTGAGCTAGCACTTACAAGAGAGGTTTCACAGTACCTACTGCATTCACCGAAATATGCATTCACACTACGAACCAAATCGCGATTCGAGCCAGTGTACTGCATCCTTTGTCGTCACACGTCACCGATTTTCGTGATGCCACTTTGGTGCACACGTAGCAATTCGTGAAACGAAGGTCCAAATCACAATGAATGTCCTCGGAGAGAAATGCCGAAATCCTCTCTCATAGCGTGAATTCTCTCCTGTCGTGCGAATGCTGGCAGCTGAGTTATCCGAATCACGTCACATGGCATGCGACTGATTCGTCCGCATTCACATCCATCATGCGAATACAGCTTCACAAGAGTTGGAGGTGAAAGACGTGTGCTTATTTTTCTTTTCATCGGACCATATCGATGCCTCCCCCCCCTCCCACCATTTCTCCTTGAAAGCTTTCTACAACTGCCGTTGTTTTGCATAGCCTTCAGGATCAGCCCATCTCAGCCCAGGTGACGATGTCGTCTGATTACATCATCTGACGCCACGATGACGCCATAACGGCGTCACGAGTTTCGACGATCGCTAATTTTCGGGTGATGTCCTTACGTAACAATTTTTCGCGTCTCTTCGTGTTGGCGCATACGACGATTGCCGCTTTTCGTGTTTGATGATGAGACATCTAAGTTCTCAACGGTAGCTTGGGTTTGTTGGTTTGGCGTGCTACAGGGGGAAAGCGCTGAAGATTAAAATAAAAAATAGGCTTGGCACGCACGAGGGCTGACTTTCAACAGAATTTATTTCGAACCAAGCAACCACTTATACAGTTAAAAAAACCGTGACACATATCCCATCTGCGTCATTTGCACAAAATTCTTATCATGACCTAAGCAGCCTAGCTCCTGAGTAATAGCAATTAGTGGTTTGGAAGTGCACGCTTCACCTAATCTGTCAAACAAATTCGCCTCAATGATCTCGCGGTTCACCTGCTTTCCACTCGTGCACACAACTGAACAATCATTGTAAGCAGAATCTCACGTGCTCATAACAATAAAAGATCTGCAGAGTGCATCTAGAAACCTCCACTAATCCCTGACACGTTGTATTAGGCTCCCGGAGTATCTCACCAAGACATCATCTACTTAGGCCAACATAGCTGCTGCTGATCATCATCATCATCACAATCATCATCAGCCTGACTACGTCTAGTGCAGGACAAAGGTCTCTCCCCTGTTCCGCCAGTTAACTCGGTCCCGTGCTTGCAGCTGCCAATTTATACCCGCAAACTTCTTAATCTCATCTGCCCACCTAACCTTCTGTCTCCCCCTAACCCGCTTTCCTTCTCTGGGAATCCAGTTAGTTACCCTTAATCACCAGCGGTTACCCTGTCTACGCGCTACATGACCAGCCCATGTCCATTTCCTCTTCTTGATTTCAACTATGATATCCTTAACCCCCGTTTGTTATCTAATGCACTCTGCCCTCTTCTTATCTCTTGAGGTTACACCTACCATTTTTCCTTCCATTGCACGCTGCGTCCTCCCCAATTTAAGCTGAACCCTCTTTGTATGAGTCGAGGTTTCTGCTCCGTAGCTAAGTACCAGCAAGATACAGCTGTTATATACCTTCCTATTCAGGGATAGTGGCCATCTACTTGTCGTAATTTGAGAGTGCTTGCCAAATGTGCTCCACCCCATTCTTATTCTTTTAGTTACTTCAATCTCGTGGTTCGGCTCCGCGGTTATTACCTGCCCTAAGTAGACATAGTCTTTTATAACATGAAGTGTGCCATTACCTATCTCAAAGCGCTGCTCCCTTCCGAGGTTGTTGTACATTACTTTCGTTTCGTTGTACATAGCTGCTACCATAAGCCAAAGGTGGATTTTAAATTGCCCCTTTTACTGAATGAATTAAACTACTTTTATGCTTTTTAATGCATTCACTCTTCTTGGGGGTACACAGGCTAGTCGATCTGCATATTACGTGGTTGCTTGGTTCTAAATAAGATGTTGTTAGTCCATAAGTAAGCACTCGTGTTTCTCAGGCTTCTTCTCTGTATTATTATTTTGCTCTTTGAAGATGAAAAAGAAGGAGATGAAGAAGATGAAGAAGAAAATGAATAACAAGATGAAGATGAATATGATGAAGAAGATGAAGCACATGAAGAAGATGAAAAACATGAAGAAGATGAAGAAGAAGAAGATGATGATGAAGATCATGAAGAAGAATATGATGAAGGTGAAGATGATGATGAAGATGAAGATGAAGAAGAATGCTTTATTTTTCAATTAAATTGCTTACAAACACTTGTGCAAAAACATCACGCTGTATCAGACATCCATGGCCTTCGACTTAATAAAGCTTGTCTTTACTAATTACCAGATAAATGATGTCACCTCTTTCACGATTCCTGTCGTCGTTCAGGCGTGACGTGTCAACGTTAAGAAAAAAAAAACAGAATTGCCATCAATGGCGCTAGATGTAAACCTCATTCATTTTTATTTTTCTTCCATATCCTCCGATGCTTCTTGTTGTTCTTCGGCGTCACTAGGCTCGAGACCCACCGTGCGCACCGATTCCATCATGTCATCGGACTCACGTGACTCTGACCCACCGATGCGGCCTCTCGGTGCCGCATCGCCTCCCAATACCCGAATGGGAAACCTAGCGCCTGAGCTTTCTGACCCACCGTTGCGGCCTCTAGACACCGCATTGCCTTTCAATTCATCACTGGCAAACCTAGGACCAAAGCTTCGCCCACTGCCCGGCGCACTCCTAGGCGCACTCCTGGCCAGTTGCTTCATGGGCTCGGGTGCAGCACGCTTCATGGCAGGTTCTCCATCAGCCTGCAGCAGTACTTTCTTCGCTTGCTGTGTCAGGGATGCCATGTTGCTGGGTGAAAATCCTGAGAAAGAAGGAAGAAAACAAGCACGATTGACGAAAAACGTGTACAGTTCTGACGTGTTTCCTACGTGAGATATGGTCAACACGCACAGTTCAACATGGGGTTGCATTCGCACGAGTCAGCAAATTGAGGTATTGGACTAGTAATTTTAGCAACTAGAGCGTTACTACTGCATTGTGTCTACATTGTGTAACGTCTGTCCTTCCAAACTTTTTATGTCCAAGTAACTGTAGCGCAGTATTTTAGTTATTCGCAGGAGCGTTCTGCGAACACCTGCCAGGATAACTTAGGGGTTAGGCGTTGGGTGCTAGTGGCCCGTGCGCTTAGGCTAAGCTTCACGTCAAAAAAAAGTTCACATCAAAAAAATACTAGATGATTTGAAGTTTCTGGAGTCCCCCTCTGCGGCGTCTCTGATAATAATATCATTACTTCTTGAACGTAAAGCTCCAGGGATTCTCAAAATTATCGACTTCATGCTCAATGCGCTCTGCTTAGTCGATGCTCTTGAAGTGCAGATCTTAGCTCACTTTAGTAATTCATTACTTTTCATCCATGTACCGGGGTCTTTGTCGGAAAGTACTTCCGTAATACGCTTTTCCAACTTCAAAGGAGAGGCCAAACCATTTGTAACCTTGGACTACTACATAATAGATTTACCCTGTACTTTAGTGGCAGTCGAGCCCATCCCCTTTAATTAACTTGCAGTCCGAGACTATCTCTATTTTTACGCTCAAAATTACATTTGTGAAGTAAGCTCTAGCACGTACAGCCGCGGCAACGTCTTAGAGCACGTGGGCAGCCGATTTTTGCTCTGCGGGGAGAAACATAGAGGCAGTATCGGGTCCTGACGTGCTAAGCTTGACAACTATAGGTTACACATGCTCCAGATACACCACTTCAAAGCCCGAAACTGCCTCAAGATTTCGCCCCTCAGAGCGAAAACTAGCAGCTCACATGATCTACACAGACGTGGCGGTGGCTGCACTTTCTACCCAGCACCAAATGAGATTTACTTGCAGCCGCCGTTTATTGGACGTATCGTTACTGTTGCGTGCCTCTTTCCTTTGATATTGAGTCTGTCGTTGCTATATAAAGTTATTATTTACTGTTTATACATGATGTTACACACTGTCTAGAAGGCGATGAGTGGTGCTATCATCATTAAAGTAGAATAGTGTGATCTGATAGGTGACAAACAAACAAACAATAAAGAGGGCCCTTCAACACAGGGAAGGTGGCTTTTCCTTTTTCCGACATATCCAGCCGAGTGCTTATACACGCTGACTACAGGGCATTGATTGCTGTTGATGTAATGCGATGCCTCTTCGCTAAATACCGTAATTTATAATTTCTTTGTGCTACATCATTCGTTTACGACATTTCCTTCCTTTTATACAAATCAGAACGCATTGATTATCACACGCGAATAGAAGAGCTGATGGCGATGCTGTTATCATCTTCAGATGTACTCATCTCATGGTGACTGGTGCAGAATTGTTGGCTCTCTTCCCAATCTTCTTATTTAACTTCTTTCACTGCGCTCAGCAGCTATCAACATTCTAATTTTTCTGAAGCCGATTCATTTTTTTTGCGCCCTGATGGCACAAGTAATCTACTCGGCCAGCGGTACATTTAGTAGATCTCTGTTACAATGGTAGATGTTTTGCTGATGAAGTTGCCAAGAAATCATACTCATGAAAGAATACCGAAGGGTTCGTCAAGTTCCCGAATGATCCTAATTGTTCTAACAAATGAACTGAAGATTCGGGAAGTAAAATGTTTCAGCGCAGCCTGCGCAACTATATTGGCATTATGTCCACGCAGCTAAAGCCATGCTTTCACTTGGACATCGTAACGACGACCATTTTACGCGTAGCTTGTCGGTGATCGCTAAAATAGTCTGGCGCGATTAAAACATTTTTGCACTGCTGCTCTGTAGAAGTAAATAAAAGTTTCTGCGACTGGGGTTACTTCATTCTGCCTCACGTTTTCCTAAAAGAAATGAAGCTTCTAACGCCAATAGTTGCGAGCTCGTTTCGTCTGTATCTCGGTTAAGCTCACACGCCCTGCATAAGCCGGCTTCAGCCCAGCATGTTAGCAACAACGAGGCTCAAAGTTCAACTTTGTATTAGCCTCTTACTAGCCTGTATAAACAAAGAAACGTATTATCAGCTTACCTGTCTGACAAAGCAGCTTTGTGCAGCATTCGGGGAAGCGCCCTTTGCCCGGAATAGGTCTGCAGTTCTTGCCCCTTGGCTGCGGCTTACCGCAGCTGTAGTTGCAAAATGGTTTTGAAAATTACACGCAAGTTGCAAAATGGTTTTGAAAATTACACGCAACGTTTAGTAAGGTATACTACAAGCGCACATATTCGCCGTCTCTAATACCAGTCGAACAATCTCGAGCCACTGCACAAAGTTTGGCAACTACAGCTCTAGCTTAGACCTACGAGCGTATGAAACGCTGTCTAGAATACGCGTTCAAGCAACTCCTGTCAAGATATCACGGCGTTTGTGATTTGTCCTGATTTCCTCAACGTATACTATGCGAGGTCTCCATTGGCGTCACGGCGCTCTCATCAATGTCTGGACAATCACTGACCGCACTTACAAGCAAGTTTACTACATGTGCTCCCGCAGATCAGTCAGGGAAACTTTTTCTATTTTCCGCGAGAACCTATTGGCTGTAATATTTGCGTGATAAGCTAAAGTTCGCGTCATTATATATAGTTTAGGCTTTCACGGTCTCATCTTGACGTGTAGTAACTGTGGAAATGCGCGTGAACAATGAATAACACAAAGTGGTGTCGCTTACTCCGAAGTTTTGTACTATATGGCCTGTTTCATAATCTGATCATTCTTTTTTTTAAAATAAATGGATATAAGGAGAGGTTGGTGCCTATGCGTGGCACCGGCTACTCCTCTTCTCTTACTCAAAAGTCGACATCGCATATTTTGTAGCAAACACAAGGGTATACATATGTACATGGCAGAACGCTTACACAGTCAGTTCACGTTTTTCTACACTGAGTGTCCACACTGCATAGAAATGTGTCCGCACCACACAGAGTTTGTAAAAACACAAGTAATCACTCCAATTTAAGTGTTCACACAAAACATGAAAGTTCAATAAAATGTCTGAGGTGATCTTGTCACTTAAATACTGAACTGTTTTCAGAAAGGTTTTCCGAAAATATCGTAGTGAAACACGAAAATACTGTTTTGAAACATACCGGTTAACAGCGAAATACATTAGTTTTTTGTTTAGTACTTTTGAGCTATTTGCTGATTACCCCAGAAAGTGAATGACTGCACGCGCTGCAGTGACTTGTAGCTTTCCTTTTGGCCATGGACCCAAGATTTTTGCAATTGATGGAGGTCGCTTATCCAAGGTATTGAGTTTTTGAAAAAAAGTTCTTTTGAGGTATGTCATGATTTTTACAATACAGAAGAATGTGCTCCACGTCTTTTTGAGCGTCTCCACATGAGCAGGTGGGACTGCCAGTTTTCCTTATTCTATACAGGAAGGCCTTCGTGTAGGCTGTACCAAGTCGAAACCTATGAATGACTGCTTCTATCGATCGGCTAACGTTTAACAAAATATCAAATTCTATACTGGGATCAATGTTATACAACGGAGTTTTGCACACCATTTTCGAACCAGGTTTCCCTAGACAGTTTACAGCTCAGCTTATTTATTGGACATTGTGGATTGCTCATCGATAGAGGTAGCAGCGATATATTATTTTCTCGATGTGCTGCATGTGCAATGCGACCAGCTACGTTGTTTCCTATGAATTTAATTGGATCATTGTATTGGTATTTGAAAAGAAATGATCATGCAGGGAATGAGTGCTCATCATACGACATTATAGCACAGAATGTGTGAACAGCACGCGCTGTAACCGACACGTTATTCTTTTGACAAAATGTTTCTCTCGACATTCTTTCGAATACAAGGCACAATCTTTCACCCCTTTCGACTTGAGTCGAAGCCCGCGTTTGTAAAAGCAAATCAGCATGCTTGAAGCAAAGCTGTGAAACTGCCGGCTCGCGGGGGAATTAGTGAAGTAATTTGATGTGGGTAAACAAAATTCTTCAGTGAAAGTTGTTGAAAAGTTTTTTTTTTACATTGATAAAGAGGGTGACACAAAAGCGTTAACGAAGCTGCCAAACACCCGTGTTTTCTTACCTGGATGTAACGGGAAACCCCTGCATACACGTCATCTTCACACAACGTGCGTCGTCATACCAGACCTCGCCTTCTGATTTTGTGCCCTCTGGCGTTGTGCAGCTTTCTGCGAAGAGGAAAAAAAAGTGGATGTTCTGCTTTCGCCAAACAGCGGGTCAGGGCCATCACCGAGGACCTCGAAAGATGTTTCGGGGATGGTGGAATCCTGGCAGCCTTGCCCCGGGCATTACCATTGGGCAAATAAAGTTTGTTAAACTCAACACAACTCAACTCTAGGAACTGGGTTTAATCTCTTTATAGACAGGGCAGCCTACTTAGTCTCGTAATGCTGCATGCGTACCTCATATATGAAGACTCGTCTCATTCCAGAACGTAATAGGGAATATTTAACTGAACAGCGAACCCGGCTACTTAAACCACATTTCGGTGGTGGCGAATTACTAGAAGCCCATGTACATGTCTTTTCATGGTCGAAAGCATATAAAACAACGCATTTACGGAACAGTCAGAGGCAGCCATTAAGACCATATTCGACAAGTTACAGCGCGAACAGATGTACATTAATACTTGTTTTCCCGCAGAACAATGGATGAGTGGAACTCACTACGAGCTACTGACAACAGACAGTGTAGGCAAGTTAAACAGGAATAACTAAACTTTTCAGTGCAGCTGAATACACATAGAGTTTACCATGTGGAATAAAGTTGCCTAATTAAAACTCTTGCTTCTGTTGTTAGAACTGTTTCATTAGGTGGCAGTGGCAAAAATTGATATCATGTACGGTTGTCTATGGCTCTCGTGTTGGCATTGTACCTATTGTATAATTTTACAGATTGTCCTACTGCTTTGTGCTTTTGCGTGTATTGTAGCTTGGGTCAGTCTTCAGCAGTGACAGCACTTCTTTTTTTGTTTCCTTTTTTCATATCCTGTTTCGCGAACAACCTGTGAACGCATTTTATGTGCTTGCTAAAACAACGCCAGTTGGTCGAAACTCCGGAGGTTTCTTGTACAATGTACAATCTTATGACACGTAAACCATTCTTGTTAACGCGAAAAAGCGTCGTTCAAAGAAGTTGCTCGTTCGCTGTATGATAGCACTTTGCTTTAGTTAGCGCGCGCAATATATTTAAAACATTTGTAAACAACTGCAGATTACATCTACAATCTTATGACACGTAAACCATTCATGTTAACGCGAAAAAGCATCGTTCAAAGAAGTTGCTCGTTCGCTATATGGTAGCACTTTGCTTTAGTTAGCGTGCGCAATATATTTAAAACATTTGTAAACAACTGCAGATTACATTTCAATAGTCTGAAACCAGTGATGTTACAGCAGGATCATAGTTGTGCGGCTATTTTTGCATTTCCACCGACCATGCAACTTCTTAAAAATACGCAGAAAAGCAGGGCAAGGGATTAATACTTAGAGTTTCCGTACATTACGAGCTGGCTAGATGTTTACGTTGTTGCTGCTGCTACATTGTCTCTGCGCGTCAGGGCTTTTTAGATTACGTGTGTGTATAACTATGCCAGCAGAGTGTCATTAGTACCATTGTAGCAGAGGTGATTTCGTGCACCTTCGACCTCTTCCTTCACAGCCGAGTGTTTGTACATGTGTGGCGTTCTGAAAGGGGGATAGAACGTCAAATTAGGCTGGCTTTTGGAACGAAACATAAACTTCAGAAGTAGCGGAGGATGCGTTGGACTTGCGTACGTTTGTGACACACTAGCTTACTTATGAAGATAGTCACTGGCACACCATGCGCAATACCTTAAACGCAAATAACCAGCTTCGTAGCAGCCACTATGGGTTCTGGTTCGCTGATTCTGAAGTTGCAAACCAGAACTTCACTACCTTGCTAACTGTGGCAAACTGGTGCTCTTACGGATAGAAATAAGAACAAAAAGAAATGTGTGCGCAGACTTACTCTTGACAGAGTATGCCGTGCATTGTTGAATCAGAAGATGCGACGCGAACACGATCAGGTACAGGCACCGCAGGTTCCCTTTCAGAGGCGACATACTGAAGACGCGTGGCGAATTCATCCGTGTCTGTGGCGATCCTTTGTGGCCGTGTGATCGGAAGAAGGACGAGATGGGAAAGAAGAGAGGAGGAAAGAAAGAGAAATGAGCAACTAGCGGCTCAGTGCTGTAGCTTACTTCCGGAGGCACAAAAACACTTCTTATAGGGCGCGCTTCTGGGGCGAAATCGAGCTTAAAGAAAAACACGAAGTGTTGAGGCCCCCAAAAAAGATGTGCCGAGAGGGAACGGAAGCTTCCGAGAACGGAGAAAGCGAAGGTAGACGTGCCTGGCTGGCCCGGGAGTTAGGTGCTCGCGCGCGCAATCACGACCTGTCACTTTGACACCTTGGTCCCCTGTAAACCCTCAGTTTCTTTCTCTCCCACAACGAGTTCTCTCAGACGCGCTACAGCTGACAAGCTATGCCCGACGTTCGTTTGCATCTAGTCCTCCTTTCATGCAACATGCTTGCCAAAGGAAGAGAGAGAATAAGAGAGAGAGTCGGGTTCGTAGGGTTCGTGAGCGGAAATCATTTCGTGCTATTGTTATTCGATGACCAGCGATTGACGATGACCTACGTTGGGTAGCAGTAGCGTCAATCATTGATGCGGATAGGTAATGCTTGAGTGAACAGAAGAAAAAAAGAATGCGCGTGCTCTGTTTGGGTCTTGTTTCTAACTTTTGTCTATAGTTCGAAGGTGCCGTGAAAGATCGCCTGTGCTGCGCGTATACCAGGCGTCCAATATTGCCTAAGACGATAGGCGGCGGCTTGCTCCTTTGTCGCCCTTATTGGGACGTCGTGCCGCTTCCAGCTGTGCCTAATTGCTTCCGCTTATTTTAGGGGAGCCGCGCTTGCCGCACGTACCGAAACGAAAACGGTGACAGTGTTCTGTCAAACGAACGAGGACATATGCTCCTCGTGGAAGGTCAATAACAAAATAGAGAACAAAAACGACGAAGCTTTTTTGGCGTCTATATCCGCAAATGGCATGGTTTCCATCACAGGCGTGTGCTATTGGACAGTGGTAGCAGCAAGCCCGTATGTCGGGAGTATACTAGCAGTCTTTAATCAGTATTATGAAGAGTAAGGGAGGGAGGGCGGGCAGTCGTATACAAGAGTTATATTTCTATCTCGCTTGTTCTGTTGTCGCTTTCAAGCGTTACTGCGCGGTTTCGGTACGCTTGATCACACGTCATTTGTTTCAAGCTATATTGGAATATGTCACGCTTATATGCACGTACGTACGTGGTTGCTTCCTTAGACATTTTGTTTCTGCAGTTGATGTTAGGCAACCGCAACAAAGCTGATTTTCCGAGATTCGTTCTTAGCTGCCTAATTAACTTGTCACCTGTCACGACCCTCACTATTGTAAAACATGTGCAACTATTGTAAATTGTAAGAGCATGTAACGTCTAAGCAATCTTGGTTAGCAATAGCGTATAGAAAATTGTTTTTCTTTTTGGGTGGGAGGCGGGGTTTCAAACTTTATGTATAATATGTTCGTGCGTGCCTCTGCATATCAGCGCCTATTATGCACGTGAAAAAAAAAAAACATTTTAGGAGAAGGGAGAAGAAGGAGGGGTAGTACAAAACCATTGAGCGATGCTCTCTATCACAAGCATACTTAACACTGGTTTGAGGAGTGGAACTGAGAACGAGATACGAAGAGAAGACAGACACCATCATCACTGCACGAGAAGTGAAATTTTATTTCTGAGCGCCCGGCTGTATAAACAGTCAAACACGGGCATACACCAGCAGCAGCTACACATCCGTGATTGATTGGTGTGGGGTATCATTTCCAGAAATGGACATGGGCTGGGCATGTAGCGCGTAGACAGGATAACCGCTGGTCATTAAGGGTAACTCACTGGATTCCTAGAGAAGGCTAGCGGTTAGGGGGCGACAGAAGGTTAGATGGGGCAGATGAGATTAGGAAGTTTGCGGGTATAAATTAGTAGCAGCAAGCACAGGACCGAGTTAACTGGCGGAACAAGGGAGAGGCCTTTGTCCTCTAGTGAACGTAGTCAGGCTGATGATGATGATGATGATGAAGATGATGATGATGGTGATGATCATTTCCAGAAACTCATTATTCAACTGCCAGTGATATATATGTGACAGTTATTTTCTCACCAGAACTCCTAACGCTGAACTGACTGTTGCAGTTTTTACCATTTTCACAAACATACGTTCCTGAAAGCAGCGCCCGCATCTTCTACGAATCACTTTACTTTTTGCCTTAGTGTCATGTACACAGTTGCATTGTGGCTACGTCTTGTATCACGGCTACTTGGCGTGACACGGGCGAAAAAAAAAAAGGAAAATGAAAAATCGGGCAGACGTTTACGCTTTGCGAGGATTGGTTTCATGCGGAGCAATCAGCGTATGACAGCAGATGCAACATTCTAGCATTTTTTTATTGTTTCGAGCGTGGTGTTTCGAGTTGTATGCATTTAGTTTTGTTACAAATCAAGCAGCCGGGCATATATCGTGGGCTCACCAACACGCAGAATACAGCAGTGCGTAAAGAGTAGACCATGGTTTGGCGCAATAAAAGTACTCACTCATGCTGTATCAGATATTGCAGTTTAAGGGGAGATGCTATACTCGAAGACAATTTTTTTTAATATTCACCCTAGAGCAATGAAGCTTGAGCTGTTTATAGAACGTTTTATGCTGATTTCAAATATATAATAAATTTTCTTGCAAGTTGCTTACTTTTAGCTCTGCGAAATGACAAATTGATAACTTTAACCCTTTTGCCCCCCTCTTTTCATCCCTGAATTTCCGTGATTTTTTACCATTCATAGTTCATAATGTTTGAAATAAAGTGTAGAATGCAAACAATAATTAGGAAGCACATACAAAATATTTAATAGGCGTAAAAAATAATAGACGTAAAAAGTTCATATTTCACCTGCCCTAGTAAAGGTTTACGTGAATTCTTTTATTATACAATAAAATATTGAAACTTAGACTAGATAATTGCATTCGCCGTACTTTGGAAAAGATTTGGGAAAAATTTCATGCAGATCCGAGCACTAGAAGTTCCCGAAAAACGAGGGGCATATTGAAAAAAATGGCAAAACTTGTATTTTGAGAAAAACAAGTTTTTGAGTTAAAATTGAGTTTTTAATATTAGAGATATCATTAAATCTGACGACATTTGTACACCAAAAAGAACAATACTTCTTGTAGTGGCCACTGCGACTAAAATACGCCAGCGCCATGATTTTGTCCCTCTTGGCTTTTTTGAGCCGACTCCCCACAGACATTTCATTCACAGATAGGACCATGAAACGCTTGCCAAACTTCCGCTCCGTCTGGCAGAGCCTTGTGCCAACTGCAAGCTCGGAAGAGGTTCGACAGGACTGCGTAATCCAAACTAAGTCCAGTGCCATGCCATTTTGCGGCCATGTTTGTGCCATATACCGTCGTACATAATGGCAATAATCTCCCTGTTAAGTTTTCTCACTGCGAGCTCTTTCGACCTCGCAAGATTGGTGCTGACGTCATCCAACGCCGCACCACGAACTTTCCGGCTAACGGGTGTGAATGACTTTTGATGCATTGGTTTTTGCACGCCTTCATAACGGAGATAATTACACGAAGAAGAAGAATAACTTTATTTATGAAGTCCAGCGAAGTTGATTTGGGGCGGGCCTAGGCGTCGGCCACGAGCCCTTGGGCTCGGGATAATTACACGAGAAAAGCATTTTTCAGCTGCGCTGCTCGACAAGACATGGACCCCGCAAAGAGGCTGGGGCACAGCGGCCAATGGGGCACATACTGGGGCGCAGCAGCCAGTGGCGGTCCCCGATCCGTAACACGTGATAAGCCAGTCGCGGCGCTCGAAAAGGGCGCAGAAGCGTGCTTCTTTTTATTATTTCTTGCGCTGCATCAGCGAGAGAAACTGTTGTTATTTGAAGAGTGAGGCTCGATTCTTCGACTCATGTGATCAACAATGGCTAGCGGCGGCGCATTATCAGCGGCAAGGTGCTCGAAGACTGCCCACTTTCGACCTTTTAACAGGCACGTTGTGCTCTTTACATGCAATTTTAAAGCATTTCTAGTTAGGTCTCTACCTGTATTTTTTTTTCATAACAGTAGAGGTACTCATCTTATCAAAACAGGCAAAAATAAAAACCGGTAATTTTGAAAAAAAAAAACTCGCGTTTTTCGACCCGCATCTCCCCTTAATCGCCAGGAAGTGCACGCCACGGCAGCTACGGTACGATAATGTGTGTCAGAATTGGCTGTCGTAGGCACATCCACACAACGCTTAACGATAGCGTCGTCGTCATCGTCGTCGTCGTCAGCGGCGGCGGCAGCAGCAGAAGCAGGAGCAGCAGCAGCCGCCGCCATTGCGTCAGATTTCGATGGCCTGCGCGCTCGCCTCCTAGCGACCACGTCCCCTCCGTTTTCGTTACTTCGTATACCCCGCAGTGCATGACAAGTTCTTACGACGAGTGTTACGCACGAGTACCGATATCCCTGCAACCCCCTCACCTGCTTGCTCTCAACCGCGTCCAAGAACGCCTGACAGCTCCACGCCTGCATATTTTGAGCGTGAGGCATTTCACTCAAGGCAGCAGGCAGTACGGCTAAAGGGGCAGGTGGTTAACGTGCAGATCGACGTGGCCGACACCGTGCAGGGTTAGTCGCTGAATGGGCCAACAATGCTTTCTGCGCTGTTCACATCAAGCGCCGGCTTGTTCCCAAGCCTTCCTACAGATACGGTCTCCCCAAAAACACCCCGTGCATCTCCGAGAAAGCTATTCACTATGCGGATATGGCAGTGTAACTCGAAAGTGTTTTATGCCGGTGTCCACCACAACTCCGCTGACCTACTTCTGTCAGGGAAGGGACGGCGAAATTTATGTGTTATCAAACTGAAAAGAAAAAGAAACCAGAAGTCAAGGATTTGTCGCACGCAATGGAACAATCAACCTCGCGACTCACAGTGCGTGGTGCTAGCCACTGCGCGACTGAGCCCGCCTTGTTGGGAG